CATGATTTATACGTGACTGAGTTGAACGTCAAGCGATTGCTCTGTTGAAAAAGTATATCCGTTATTGACTAACATTAATCACTTTTAATTGCACCGCATTAATTGTGCATTGTTTCGATGGAAGAAGCAAAGCGACGAATAATCTTCATTGACTCTTCTTGTTATTTATGTATCGCATCCAAGCAGAGTTATCTAGTTGGCACCTGACAGACTGTTAGACACTAATTTATGGTCAGATTTATAGAAGAAAATAAAGAGGAAGAGAAAGAAGTCTACAGTAGAAACAAAAAAAAGAGATGACTTTGCACGCTACTTCAAGCTTCGTATGCTATTAGGAAAATGAATGAAAATGAAAAATTTCTGAGCGATGACAGCTCTGTGAATCTTAAGTAAGTATCGTGATGTGATTCAATATTTATTGCGTTTCACGATAGATTAGGAGGGACGGCTGCTCCCTCCTGAATACAAACCATTTAATTTGGACAGAGGCTTCCTCTACGGAAGCTAAGAGAAAGATAAGTCACGAGAAATGGAAGCCCTGAGGATTACTTTTGAATGAACGTGGTATTTTTTGATACACTGAGAGGATAGATTCATGCCAAAATGGAGAAATACAGAACCATCGAATTCCGTTCCTTGAGTTTGCAGACGCTCGGTGAGTTCGTTGAATGAAGGGAAATTCTTGTTGTTTCGATTGGAACGAGGTCATTCTCCGTCACTTTTTCACACATGTACGTTGATATTGGCATGGGAACGGATTTGTCGCCTTATCACGAATTTTGTATTCTTACGGTTTTAAGTACATTAGTTCTTAATGGGAATCGACATTTGAAACATATTGCTCATGTGTTAAATATCTTTGCGCATAGTGATTTGATTATTCATGATATTTTCTATGCAAAGTAGCCAATCTTCTTAATCTTATCTAAACGCTTGAATGCGATAAACTATATGTTTTCGATATCTGATGATGTCTGTATCGCATCGTAGCCTGCAATATTACGATGCATCTGTTTACAATATCTATTGTGTAATCCGTGCAATATCTTTTATTTAGCTTACTCATGATATATCCAAATTCTTGATGAAATGAATGTATAATTATGCTTACAAAACATCTTCCTTCATGAAATCGTCACGGAACGTTGTTATATTTATATATCTCTCCTGCTACTACATCGTAATTTACCAGTTCCCGTCTGCAACAAGCATTTTGGTGAGTGTGTTCAATACGGTTCTTCGCTTGTCGCTTTCTGACTTTTGTTCTTTCGCTCATCTCCACGTTCAACATTGCCCGAAGAAGTTGTTGATCCCATTCTTCCGCCTTTCTGAGTTCTTAATTTATTACCTCACATTCGCTACTTATCTTAGTCGTCGAGTTTGATACTTCCTAAATCTTATGCTGATCATCTGCGATCGTATTCCATATTCCAAATATATTTCGTTTATGCTAATTCTGCTGTCAATATATTCCGCTTTACACCATCATTATCATAAATAGGATTTTTCTCTCCTCATCACTACGAGGACGGATTCATACCAATTCTGGTCTTCCAATCCCCGTCTCCGTGGTCTGCCCACGGGGATAGACTTCTCAAGCAAGCTTTTGAACTAGGTGACTGCGAACCAGAATTCTCAATTTCGATAGTCCTAGTGTCCGAGAGTAGATCCGAAGAGCCATGTATATTTGCTCACGGCAACCAAGCGCTGAATAACGCTTCTCAGAATGGCCAAACGAGCTGAATAAGACATTCTGCTGGGGCAGATCTATCACATCAACATTCTTATATTCCTACTCTCTAAAACTTTTGATTTCCTAATGACGTTTTCGTAGCGCAGCAGAATGCTTAGTGAAACGTTTCTGTTTTCACAGGAACAACAAAACAGATAAGTGATGGTTATTTGATTATTGGACAGTCTGTCTCAAGTAAAATTTGAAGAAAATTTTGAAGTAAATGAATCAACGTACAAATGTATAAATCTTATAATTTCGAATGTGCATTCTACGTCGATATTATTCCCCTCGAATTTTCTCGCCCCTTATCGATTGCGCCGTCTCAAAAGCTTCCTCGTTGCAAGTCAGTCCTCAACATTGACTTTTCCATTCCCCTCCCTTTATCAGCTCCCTCCCCTCACAAGTCAGTTCTCATCCTTGAATTCTCGTCCTCCCCGTTAAAAAAGCTGAACTGCTGCAATCGTGCTAAGAATGAATAATTTCACTGGAGAAGACAAAACCGCATCGTAAAGAAGCATGATAGTTTTACATTAGTTACATTGGTTATATCCTGTGGAGAATCGATAGTTACGAAGGCGGCGAGGAAAAACTTTCGCTCTTTGTGTCCTCGCGGGGATGCGAACAAATCCCTTCTACTATTCCCGTCCTTTTCCTCGCCTTCGCGGGAATCGCCGCAGGATGTCCATGACAACTTATATCTATATCAGCTTATAGAATCCAAACATGAATCTAAGAAGTTCGACTATATTTCCAGAGTATCAAGTGAATTTGGAGTGATCAAAGAGGTGGACTGAATTGTGATCTCAACTGGAAAATCATGTAAATTGGTAATGTCAAGTCATTTCCGGGAGGGGAAGGTGGGTGGCGAGTTTGAATATGTTCAGAAATAAATGACGAACAGCTGAAGTTGATTGCTAATAGAATCATAGAATCTGTCAGAAACAGATTCCTGCTAAATCGAATGACTTATCAATGGCAAAACACCGTAAGTTTCTACTGATGCGTATTCATTACTAAATGGTGATTAAAATACTGTGAGGGACTGATTCGAAATGATTCAAGTTGCCAAGTGTTATAACTGAAGTACACCCACGAAATAGACCCACTTCCGTAACGCAATCACTCATCGTATTTTGAACATTCTAATGCTAAGCAATTCTTCATAAACTAAAAACCTCCGTTTCATTATAGTGCTAATATTATTCTGATGCATTATTCCACGAGACAATGTGGGGGTTGTGGGATGCGGAGAGGTTGTGCATCGCAAGGAATTTTATCGTAGTGTGAACGTGCTCTTCCAACTTTACTTTGACTGTCGTACCCGATAAGCAGATCATTATCACGACGCAAACCAACTGCTGAGATCGCTCAAATTTCTCTGCTACTGTGACATGTTTTGAGAATGCAACGGAAAATATTATCGTAGAAAATTGTTCACTCTCATGAAACGATTACTGGGAGCGGATTTCATATGAATTCACCTTACTGCTCCAGAACGAAAAATTGATAGATTTAAAAAATACATCAGTTGGATACGACATGAAGAGAACAAAATCATCGTAGCAGCGATTCCATTATGTGATGTGTAACGATCTCATGCATTATTTTACCTATCATTTTCATCAGATCCAATAATCACTTCTCACAGGATAACGATAGCAGTTCCCAGCCGAACAACACAACTATTTTTTGCTTATAGGATATCTGACTAAAAACGATATTTGATATTGGTGCACCACTCGGTTTCGAGCAAAACTTTCCTCCTCGAACGGGAATCGAACCCGCGACGTTCGCGGAGGAAAGTTTGGCTGGAAACCGAGTGGTGTACCAATATCATTAATGTTGTGAGCCAGAGCCAGGCTATGATCCGGCTTGAATCTATTACCTAATTACCAACGACATCTGAATTAATGTAAACGCGAAAGTGATGCGAACAGCAACGGGGAAGGAATAATGAAAAGAGTATTTTGTTGCTGCTGAAATCGAAAAGTGTGATGATGCATTTCAGTTCACTTTGAAATAAACTTTTACCGATATATTCAGACAATAAGCATTTTGTTTAACGAAATAAAAAGAAACGAGTGTCAAACAGATCAATAGAACTGAATGATACGTATTCTGAGAGGTTGGCGAAGCAAACGATAAATTGTGGATGAAAATGAAAAATTAACAACAANAAAAAAAAACCGAAAGATTAACAGTAAATTATCAACGAGAACAAATAAAACAACGATCGCAATCAACAAAACATGCTTTCAAGTAATGCTCAGTGGGAATTACAGTGAATTTTAGAAATGAGTCTCGGAAAGTGAGCAATGAAGCACAAAAAGCTTTTCCAAAATACGATTTAAATGCTCTGTATTGGCGGGCAGTATTCACACAGACAAGTGATAATTTGCAACCTTCAGTGAGGAATTCATCACGAAAGAAAACAAATAACAATGCTTCATAACAACAACTTAATCAACTTCAAGTTCATAACAACAATGGTATTCGGATAATCAGAACAAATTTTTAATCGATATACAACTCAACACAACACTGTCGAACACTGATAAAAATGACTTTTTAATATTTTCAAAATGACGCGTCAACGAGCGAAGAGTGTAAGAGTAACAAGGATATGTTTTGTGCAACGGATAATAAGACAAAGCTTGATAAAAACTGTCTCCATATAACATCAAATTATGACACTTACCTAATGTTACTTCGATCAGCAATTGATCTCCTAGAATGGTCGCCCATTACACAACAGAAGCTTTAAAGTGAGCATTCATAAGATGGGTAAGGAGAATAACTTTTAACAAAGGAGATAATTTCAATGAATTCNAAAGTCAAATCAACGCTTGCATTTCCTCACAAAGACGCTCGGAGTTTTTGAAATCGGGGTTGCAAAAAAACGGTGTTAGTAACTCGCTGAAAAAGTATCCAAATGAAATGTATAATGGCAATGTTTTGGCTGGGAAGTGCACACGGATAAGAAATGAGTGAGAAGAAATAGTTGTTTATGAACACGGCTCTAATTAAAAGCTAATAAAACCTCTGGGGGTTGCTCGTTGAGTGAATTGAATTCAAAAAGATTCGACAAGTGATATACGCCACTGACATCTCATAGTGCAAAACCGAAAGTGTTTTCCACACGCCACTCTCAAATATTTACAATATAGCCGACCAATTTAATCGTTTCTCAATGGATCATGAGACAACACTGAACTTCCTCGATGAAAGGAAACAACAACACGACCACAATGTGAAACCGCATTAATCACAAAGGTGTCGTAACAGTTGATGGAGACAATTTCTCCATAGTCGCATCTGCCTCCTCAATATCCAACTTTTTTTTGGCTTCTTTTCTTTGAACTGACGGTACAATAAATAACATCAACCCAGATATCAATAACGACACTCCACAGAATATAAATGACCAATTGTAGTTACCAGTCACGTCAGCAATTCTTCCTGAACAATTTCTTTCGTTCGAATATGCAGAAATAATGAGAGAAAATATAAAACATTTATACTCAAACTCATTCGCTGCCATTCTGGGGACTACAGTTGCTCTTAACTAATTGTAAATTAGATGAAAAATCCGAGTGAAGGGTCCACTGAAAAGAATCCATAACGTTGCATAGAGCGAAAATTGAAAATCCGATGAATACCGAGATTGTTGTTAACTGAGAAGTGTTTGATAAAGTGAGCTTCGATAAGTTGCTCATTTTCTAGCAAGTATGCCGAATGTTCATTTGAAGTAAAGTAAAAGAAAAAAAGTACCTGCAATGGGAGGTCCAAAGACAGTGCCAATGCCCTGGAAGAGAAGCAGGAGGCCGAATGCATTCGTAAGTCGTTCCAAACCCAACAGATCAACCAATAAAACTGACGTCAAACAAACGTACGATGAAAGTGTTAAACCGAACAATCCCGAATATAACTATAAATAGATTCGAAAAATATTCTGACAGCAACAAATTCAATTTGCATTCCTACGGAATGTAAAGCAACGGGGTTCCACTGCCATACAATTATTCATGGAATGATTCAGATTTTGTTACTTCTTTAATTTTGGTACTAAAACAACAAAGAAATGAAATGAAGAAACGAACCGCAAGCGAGTAGAAATCGGTGCATAAAAAGACAAGCATCGTAAGAGTTCCACAAACGGTCAACGATATGATGTATATCCATAAACGATTCCGAGCAGTGTCTTTGCCATATTTTGTTGGGAATTCGCGATCCGATACCGAACCAAATAATATTCGACCGATCGTATTCATCAAACCTGAATCGAAGGTTTCGAATTTGCAACGAATATTTGGGAAGAAGCGCTATGTATATGCGAAACTTTTCAGACTGATGACCAACGGAAAGAGAAGTAAACTTGAAGAATGATACGCGGAACAGAGTTAGACAAGTGTGAAATGAATCAAATCTGCAGTTTTCGTTTCAGACGTGTGACATGGAATGAATAATGAACATGACCACAACTACTCAGTCCTTTTCGGTAAACATTCATCTAAGGCAACTTTCTTAATTCAATCAGATTTGAAGATCGCTTAAATAATAATATAAACATTTGACCGATATTCTCGCACAGTATACCAATTTTCCACTTGTTGCTCAAATCAGCACGTTATTGTTTTAGCTGGCAAGTTACTGATCAAGACGGATCAGCTGGGTTAAATGAAAAAAGAACAATAATTGATAAAAGAAAACACAAACCAAATACGCTAATAACTCGCGCTCCTTGTTCAGGCGAACAACCGAGTGATTCAGCGTGCACGGGCAAGAATACAAGAGGTGAATTGAATGCGACGCTCGTCAGAAGATTTGATATGGCGAAAAGAAGAAATACCGGATCGTAGAGCAATGTCAAGTCTGTCATCTTCGATATTGTTCTAAAATTTGCCATTTATTACGAACAAAAACAAAAATCTGAAAAAAATTCAACGAGTTCAATCGTGCTGAACGATTCAGCACTGATTTTCACAAAGATTGAAGAGAAGTGAGGCTAACGGCAATTATGCGATACGACATTATCCGCTCTCACCTCCAGATTTCTCGCACTCGGCTCGCTTCAGCGTGTTGTTCTTCTTCTTTGACCGTTTCCAAAGTACCATTTTTGCCTAAGTTCAGCGACGTTATAGAACGATACTGATCCCTTTTCTCTACGAAATCAGGAATCTCTGTCACCGATCCCGTATAGAACACGTCCTGAAATTGATCGACAACGTAACAGTTGATCGACAATTTCGACAACAGCAAAAAAAAACCCTAATAAAGGATGTGATGAGTCTCACTTTAACACTGATGAAACCGGTTGATTCTGAGATAGTTCTTTGTCTGCCTGGTGAGCTGGCATTCAGATTTAAGCTAGCCAACCGTGGGCGTGGCGTTGGCTTATCTGATTCTTCAAGCGAATTTCGTCTACCATTTACTCGATCGCCACCATTCGAAGACGTATTCTTTTCGTTGTCATCCAACTAAAACGTATTCAGAGACATATTTTCAAAAGATTACTCAGAAATAATACAAGTTAAAGAACCACAATACACATACGAATTGTCATGAAAAATTATATTGCGATCGTTAGGAACATGGTTGAAAAAATTCGAAATTTCGCTCGATAGGCGTGTACATTCGCTATTTATTCGAATTACCTGTACACATTTCGTGCAAATCAATTTGAATATGGAATGCGAAAGTAAAATTTTAAAATCGGATCGTATGTTCTCGAGACAACTTACCTGGCACTCACTGAATACACCAATACAACATCACGCATTAACGATAAACGAAATAAAACCTAACGAAAAATCTCAATGAAAACTATTCGACGTTCCATGAACAGAAAAATTCCAATTCGCTTCAGTGTGAAGTGAATCATTAACCTGAACGCAAACATTTTCTAAGCAATACCTTCGGCTGGACTTGTTGAACGTCATCACCATTCTTGATCAATTTCTGCTTGACCTCGTCACTTATTTTTATGTCTCCAACGAATTTCTTTTCGTTACGTTCCTCTTCATCTTCGACAGGTACAAACTTGAGAGGACGAAACACTGCACCACAAGCGATACACATCAAAACGAAACCTTCAAAAAATAAATTACCTCTGTGTTGGCAGCATTTTGGCAATGAAAATATTCACTAGGTAATTGAGTTTGATTAGCCGACTGTTAAAACGAATGCGGCAAAAACGCACCAGTGTATGCGATAAAAACGAATCGCCATGAGAAGAGTCGAATGAGTGCTTCACTGATTGGTGCGAACATCACAGTTCCAATACCAGCACCACAAACGGCCATTCCAGTTGCTAACGCTCTTCAAATGTGATCAATTATGCTCGTGAGGGAAATGAATCACAACGAGTGCTCGTTGGTGAATATTCGTTAGAATTTTCAAATTCACATCGTGAAATATAGATAATCGAATGGCGGATGGATAATAACACGTACTTCTCTTAAATAGTTAACGCAATGCAACAGATACGACAATGAATATCGCGCCAATATAACTTGATAAGATTAAACCTTTTCTTTTCGAAATACATTGTGACGACGACAATTGCAGGGCAATACATCAAGCCAAAACCAAATCCCATAATACATCCGACTGTTACCATTAGGTAAGCAACCGATGTTGCAAAATGAGATGCTGCACATCTATAATTGATTTGCTTAATATATGACAAATGTTGCAAATCTAGTTGTTTGGAGTAGTGCTCGTCGGGAAGCATCTCTTTGGTCGGGCCGGGGCCCCATCGTGGAGTAAAGTGGCCGGTGACGGATCTCGACAAAAAGTCAGAGGTGACTTTACTGGGGGAGAGTTCTCGCAAAGAAGAATTCATTCGGGGAGGAGACTCCGAGAGAAAGATCAGGAA